CTGGTTTTCTCATCTGCCAGAGCCTCTACTACCAGTATATGATTATTGAGGTGAATGAGAGGCAGAGAATTAAGTCAGAAGTTTTATGTCATTTTAGTACCTCTTTAGGTCTGTGCCACTGTAGGACTTTCATTCCAGGGAGCGTCATAGGTACAGTGGGAGTCTGGCCAGGTGGTCTTGTTTGCAGGAGCTGATGCTGCCCAAGCTGGGACATCTGTGGCTATATCGGGCACAGAGATGTTCCCTGTGGGGCTATTGCAGCCCAGGGTCCAATGTCTCCTCAAATACTGCTGTGCAAAAGCTGATTTTTTTTTTTTTGAGGGGTGGGGGAGTGAGGGGACAACTATATTTGCTTGGTTAATTTTGCTATATTAGCAGACAATGTGTCTTTTGTGTTTCTGTTCAGCACTTCAGAGAGCCAACAGTTTTCACTCCTCTGCGTTAAGCAAGTATCAGAATTGGAGGAAAAAAATCCAAATGAGTGAGTAAAGCCTGAGAAGTGGCTGTATATTCTGCTTGCACCGTGTCCTGTTTCCTTTCTCCCAGATGACTATTTCCTCTCTTTCTTTCGAAGCTTTGTATAGCTGAGTCATTAGAAGAGGGAAAGGAGATCTAAAATACAACAATTACATTTTTCCATTCTCTTTTCCTGAAAAGAGCAAATTCCTGTCTTGCGTGATTGTGCCCTGGCTGTTTCCTATTGTTATGCTGAATAGGCTCATCCATACACCCATGCTTGATATTGACCACGTCACCTATTCCCCCAGCTCGTTGCGTGGGGTGGCCGTTCGTGTCCCCACGGGCTGCTGGGCGCGCGGTGCCGGCCGCAGAGATGCCTCCCGAAAGTGGCTGTTGCTGCGTGTCAGGCTCGGGGCCGCCTCTGAGCCCTGCCGGCCACTTTGGGCCTGGGCTTAAACATCGTGGCGTGGTTTCGGCAGAGGCTTTAAGTTATTATCTTACTTTGATTCAGGTTTGAAAGAGAAAGGCAGGCTGTGAGAGAGGAAAGAAGAGAAGATGGGGATAACACTTTTTTTCCACTCATTGTCAGCTTGTTCTCAGCAAATATTTTACATGGGTAAATGTTTGCCAATTTTTTTTTTTCCCCCTTCACTTGGTTAAAATCTCCCGTGTGCTCCCAAAGATCTCTAGAGGGAGCTAAAGGTCTTTGAGAGGGAAGTTAGAGACCATATGAATCCTTCCGAACCGCGAGTCCACAGTTAAAATGAAGTGCAAAGTACTGACAGCAGATACTGGGAGCAGGATAAAGGCATATTTTGCTTTCTGGGAGGAACTCTAAGAACTCTGTAATGCTTCGCTTCTATATATAACCCACTTAATATTTGGTTACAGGAATTCATATGATCATCAGTCACTGAAGAAAAATCTGTCTGTATTTCAGACTTATTTTCCTAAACACATATGTTTCATAAATAGCACTAGTTACCAAGCCAGGAAATTGATGTCATTTTTGTATTGGCTGAAAGATTTAGAGTAAAATATTACTCTTCAAAACCTTCAGTCACTTCTCTCAGATGTAGAGAAGTTTACGTGTTTAAATTGTTAATTGTTGGTCATCACATGCTTTTGGTGCCCTGAAGATTTCAGTAATACCCTAAGGAATTAGGGGGGGAAAATGTTTTTAAATGTGTAAAGCTGTAAATATGGATGTAGAGTTTTGATGGGAATAAATGATCTTATCTCTCTGCAAGCTGTGACTTTAACTGATGCTGCACACACAGGCCAGGTCTCTTGCTAATGCACATCCCGGGATTTTGGTGGGAAGCAGTTTTTCCCTATGTGATGAATTCCAGCTCATCACATTCCTCGGTTCTTGACTTAATCTTCACAAAATTTATTATATTGATAATTTACAGGTGAGATAGGTAAAAGGAAACTTGGACTCTTTTCCTTCCTTTTTCTGAAATTCACAGGCAAGAACTGTAGATCACTTTTCCTGTTCCCAGCACCCTCACATGCTCTCTGGTGTGTAGTTTTTTGCTCCTATGTAGCTTTTAATCTCTGTATAGAACAACTGGAGTTTATATTGTGAACCTTGGATTTTAGAAATAATAATTGTATCTTAGAGTTAACTCAGCTCTAAATATACTTGCCACATTAAAGCTTGGCATGGGAATGTCTTGGTGCAGGAACATTTTTGCTTTGCTTGAAAATGATTTATTCTGTTAGATTCACATGCACACAAATATTAGCAACTCTGCTAACTCCATTCAGATGCAAGTTACCTACCTACTCTTTCTTGCTGCATGTCTAAATTTGTCCATACTAATTTTTGTTCAAGGCCTTTAGCAATTAATTAACTTGTTTGATTGTAGAAGAGCCCTCAGCTTGGTATTTGTTAGGCTGGCTTATAATTGAGGCTGTAAGACTAATTCTGGCCTTACTGCCCATAGACAGTATTCTCATTTCTTTCTCATTCTGGTGGATAATGTTTCCATGAGTCATCTGTCTCTCTTCGTTTCTCAGAAGTAACCAAAGCTCCAAAAGTAGCTCGTTATTTTGAGCGCCTCTGCTCTTAAGGTGCTTTCAGAGATCAGAAAAGGGCTGGGTTTTCAGATAGCATCCTGAAACTCTAGAGCTGCTTCACTTTATTTAGCCAAAAATAAGTTAATTAAAATAAAGGAATACAAGCTCATCTCTGGAAATATTTTGAGCACAACATATATTTTGTATAGTATGCATGCACGTGCAAATGAGAGTATAAGCTCCTTTGCTTCAGTTAAGCTCCTCAGGGTAAAACTGTAGCCAGATGATGGCTTTTTGCTTTCATTCACAAACTGCAAACTTAAGGCAAAAATAATATGAATGAAATGATAAAGTTTGTCTGTCTTTGGCAGATTTCCCTTTACTGTCTAGCAAGAAAAATGTGAAGGAGAGCTCAGCTGGCTGCCCAAGCGCTCTCGGAGAAGATCACTCCCAAACGCAGGTACGAAGGAAAACTGAAGAGCCAAACTAACGTAGGAGTTGTGTAGGACCCACTCTCAGCAGCTCAGCCGAGCACCCTCCTCTGCTCTTTCAAGCTGCTTTGCTCCTCTCAGTGGACAGCCTGTTTGGTCCTTGGGGGGCAATTGGCAAGCCGGGATAAGCCAAGAGCTGCACAGAGCTGGCTGGAGGAAACGTGGGCACAGGGGCCTGGGGAGGGGGTTTAGGCTGCTATGACCCATAGACATTGGTGTCTCATGTTTAGCACTCACAGGACAGAGGACTCAGATACCTCTGTAATTCAGAGCAGGCCTTTGATTCCAAATCTCCCACAGATCAGGAGCACCCTTAGCTTCCTTCAGCATTTCAACTTCCCATTGTATTTGCTGTTTCGTTGTTTAATTCATTATTTTAATGTGAGGAGGAGTGGGCCTGCTGTGAGCACTGCTCTGCAGGCAGGAGCTGTGAGCTGATGGTCCTGAGCGGGCCAAGGTTGGTCCTGATGACTCAGAGCCGGGCAGAGCAGGGACCAACCTGAGTCCACGGCCGTTGTCCTCACCCTCAGGTTAAACATGATGAAAATTGCTTGACCTCAGGATCCACATTGTATTTAAAAAAAAAAAAAAAAAAATCTTCTGTGTCTGTGGTCTCGGTTCAAAATCCGGTGCAGGACAATGGGGCCCGGAAGCGGCCGTCCCGTGGGAGCGGTGCGCAGCGAAGCTGCCTGCTCGTGCTGTGCAGAAGGGCAGAGCGCCTCCGCCTTGCAGCTCCTGTCCTAGCAGCACCTAATGGTCTCTTTCTAGATCTAGAGAGGAGGAAGAACGCATTTATTTGCTTGTTGGTGCTTCTCATGTTTTTTACGTGAGCCTGGGCAATATTAATTTTAGTTGTCAAATAAAACTGTGAAATAAGGAATAATTGTTATTACTTCGTCCTTAGTGCTGTCCTCACTGAAGATTTCAGTGGCTAGAAGAATAAATTTAAATCTTCATCAAAAATAACTAGTAAGGCCAAACTAATTGAATTGGTTGTTGGAAGTTACCTTGCATTTTACCCACCTCTGGGTTGCTTCAGTCATTCCTACCTGCGCTATGCACGGTGCAATACTATACAAGCAATTTGGAGACCTATTGAATAGGGATATGGATTTATGGCCTCTTGTGCTTGCTGTAAACGCTAAGATGACGCAGCTGAAGTACATGCAAAAGAAGGGAGATCTGCTTTTGTTTGTTTTGCTGTAGAGCGTTTCTTTCCAAGGAAGATGCCAAAGACCATTCATAAAGATCTGACATGCTCTTAGCATGAATTACACTTTTTAGACTGCTAAATTTCAGTAGCATTAAATCTCCCATCCTACAGAAATGCTAGTGCTTTAGGGAGAAAAACTTTCCTTCTTATTGTATTATCTGCCTATGTATGTGTCTACCTATTATATATAAAATATTACATATATCAGTGTTAAGATTGAAAAAAAGATTGAAATATTCTGTGAAATAAAAGATAGTCAACTATTGTTTTCTATCACTAAAATCATCACTTTTCTATGCATTTGGCAGTTGACTTCTTACAAGAAACCTCCAGAAATTACAAGAGGGCATTTCAATCCCTGCAGTCCAGTATTTCCAAGAAGAGAAAAAGCCAGAGAGCTGCCTGAGGATGGCCACCTTTATGTGCCTCATTCCCTATTTCAGGGCAGCAAGACTAATTCTTCACTGGTACCACCTGGAAATGGGGCAGTGGCTGCTAATTCTTCTGAGCCTGAAGATATAGGTAGTGACACTGGGAAACACACAGCTCAGCGCTGGGATGAGAAAAAACAGGAAGATACTTCTGAACAAGAAGATCTCAAGAGGAAGACAAAAGTGCAGTCATCTGCAGATTTGGAAGTGAAAGAGAAAAACACAAGACACCTAAAAGAAAAACGTGAGCAGGAATTAAAGGAGGCAAAAAGGAGGATAACGAGGCGGCTGACGCTCTGCACAGAACTGCAGCCCACATTATGCAATTCAAACAGGGCAGACTTAAGTGGAGCCAGTCCAGAGAATCAGCGCAGAAGAGCGATGGGGGTCTCGGAGGAGAAGGATGTTGCTGGGAGAAAAGAGGTGTTCAGAGCGCCCAGTTGTCCCGTGCCTCTCTTGCTCGAGAACAGCGCTCTGCCGCCGGCTTTGCCGGGTGACACCAAGGGTGCCAAAGAGCGGGTGGCTGGCCAGCCCAAGTCGCCGCTGAGGCTGATTGCCAGCGCCATAAGGAGGTCCCTTTTAGATCCCCTGAGCTCCTCCCCAGAAGGGCCGAAGCAGAACTCGGACAGCAAAGCCAAAGCCTCCACAGAACAGACTTTCTTCAGCTTCCCTAATACCCGTGGCCATTCCCTGAGCCAGCTGAACAGTAATAGAGCTAGTAACACACAGTCACAGGAGCCTAAAGTAGGCAAACAGGCAGCAGAATATTTAGGAAACAGGAGCCTAAATCCATGTAATCCTTCTGTTGTCTCTGAAGAGACACCTCCAAGGGATGGCACCCAGGAGGCAGCTTTTCCAGTCTACAATCCTCATAGCATGCCTTCCATGATGGCTAGTAGACCTCAGAAGTCACCTTGCTCTGCTAGGATGGAGGATGTGCCAGGACTTCTAGAAAAGTTTACATTTAAAGAGACTCCGCCAAGGGCTCCTATGGATGATCTGTTTGTTTGTGATGATGTTTCACCCCCAGAGTGCAAAAAGAACCTCTCCAAAGACAGCCTGGATGATTCTGCACAGAAGAGTAGTCTTGGGATGTTCTTTGAAAGGTTGAGAAGCAAAGTTAATGAAAGAGAAAGGAGTTCCTTCATGCCATCTCTGCCTTTCACTAAGGACCGCTCTCCAGAAGACAAGCTAAGCTATCCTTCCACAGGTGAGGACCTGAGTAGGGCTATTTATTTCAAGTAATAGAGCTTAATATTTAAAGGTTGTATGTGCTATCATTCAAATCCATTTCTGTTTAATTTATAGTTACCCTTTACATAGGAAGACTTAACAACAGGAATGGTTGCTGCTGTGACATTGAGTGTGTTGTGAAAGGGGGAGCAAAGCAGGCAGGCACAAGGACTGGCCCTGGGGACTGCAATGCAGTGTGAAGCGTGTTAGGTAGCCTTTAAGTTAGCCAGCTCAGATACTGCAGTAGCAACAGGCTTTGGTCTGTGCACCTGCCTTCCTAGCAGGTGTCTCTTCATCCCTATATGCTGCCATAGGGATCGCACTGCAGATGTGCTCACGGGAGCTTGGTGGTGTCATTAATGTCCCCTTGTACTTCTATCTAGAGAGGAGAAATTACCTTGTTAATCTGCTCTGACCTATTTGTGAATCTGTTATTTTGAGCAGTGGTTCAAAGGCATCAATTTTCATGTTTGTTTGCAAAAGCAAGATTAATATTAAAATTTCAAATAAGGCTAGGAGATACTAGTATCAGAAAAAGAGCGATCTGAGTAATCCGAGCATGGGCTTGGAAGGAATAAAGTGCAGCAAAGATTCAGGTATAAAATATGAGAGCTATACCCACCTGTGTTTCTTCCTAATCCATCTTTCTATCACCCCACTGTACAAAGTCACAGTAATTAACTCAATAAGCTATTGATTTTTTTGGGCCGCTCATTTGTGGCTTAACTTATTAAATTGTAACTCAACCTGCAGCATTAAAATAACAATTCATGTGTAAAATAACATATGTACAATGAGCAGAGAAAATAACAAACTTTGACTTTGTAAGCTGTCAGCTCCTTTTTTTATCCTTTTTGCTTAAGGAGTACTGCACAATGGGGAAAATCTCCTCACTCTGTGAGACTCGATCTGAAGCTCGTTGAAATCAACAGAATGGCTGAATCCTCTTCTGAAATTTGGGATCAGACTTTTGGAGCATCCTTTTGCTAAGAGCTGACAAAACTAGGAGCTCCTGTTGCTTTAGAGGATGCTAATGACTGCACTGAAGTGAGAGTATTACAATACTAATGTATTACAACAAATGATATGCTGCATTTCTAAGTGAACTGGCAAATGTTTAAAGTCACTTTTAGGTACCAAAACCTATTCACACCACAGCAGGGAGAGGAGGAAAAAAAAAACAAAAAAATGAGAAACTTTGTCCAAGAAGTTCTGGGGTCAGCAGAGTGTTTCTTCTCTTGTACTGATGTGTATATGTGGTAGCCAGTTTCAGGATAGGTTTTTAATGAGATGCAAGTGTAGATCCAGGATTTAGTTTACTTCAACTTGCAGACAGAGCTGCCCAAGAAGGTAATTGTTTATTGGCAGATTCTGGTGACTCAGGCTTTGCTTCTTGGTAGTCATGAAGAGCTGGAAGAAATATTTGTTTTACTGACAGAGCCTGTAAAGCATGAAGACACTCTTAGGAAAGTCACTTGGATTGGATGAGAATTACAAAAATACTGAAACCTGCTCTTTGCACAGCGGCAGAAGCTGTTGCAGCTTGTGCTGCTTCTCAGGCTTTAACTGTCCAGCAGCAGGTTCAGGACCTTGTGAGGCAAGTGGGAGTTATGGCTGTATTTTGTTTATATGGCTTGTTCAACTAAGCACAACTACCAGTTCTGCTGGTAAGAAACAAAGTCATGTTATGAACCCTGTTTGGTTTTTGCAGTGCCAGATTAGAGAAGGGGTTACTTGCTGACATTTTAGATTCATACATGACTCCCATTACTAGCCAAATTCCCTGAGGGCTTTTCTCCAGGCTGGGAGGGTAGGTAGGACAAGGGCTGTGCACTTCGGCTGAAGGAGAGTCTTTGAGACCCGCTTTAGCAAACCAAGGTGGAAGGAACTAGCTGTAGGCACAAATTGTAATTGCTTAGATGTCATTTATCTTGCGTCTTTTAGCATATGTGCATGAGGACACCAGGTCCCAATGTAAAGAATTGGATGTTTCCTACAAGTCTGTACACAGTAATGTAGCATGTGGTATTGTCGTACCCAGCAATCCCATGGATTGCTGTTCACTTCCCTGTGACTTTATGATGGTGAACGGGTGTGCTGGGAAGGGCCCTTGCCCAAGCTGCTGGCAGCTACAGTGTAAAGTAGAAGATTTCAGAGTGTAAAGTAGAAGATTTCAGTGGTGTCAGTGCTTGAAATGTCCCTGCAGTGAAGGGTGCTAGAAAACTCACCTCCCTGTCAGCACGTGCGGCTAGAGCCATCGCACACGGCATCCCCGAGCGGCTCCCAGCGGGTGTTGTGGGAAGGGACGGCCCCTCGGAAGGACCTGGCTGTGGGCAGGCGGGAGCCGCCGTCCTGCTGCCCGCGGCTGAGCTGCCCCGAGCCCTCCGGCGGCCTCTTCTTCGTGGGGCAGGATGCAGGGCCTGGCGCTCCCTGGCAGGCGTGCCGTGTGAGGAACACACGTGTTCCTCACATGTTGGGAATGTTGGGAAGCTGGTTCATGCAGACACATCGGCTTGCTCATGAGGTGTCCCTTGCCTGAGCTCTTCTGGGAGGTCAGTGGCCTTCCCTCTGTTGCAGGAAGGCGAGCAGCCTCCGTCGCAGCCCCGGGAAGGAGGCAGGTGCTCCTGTGCTGCAGCAGGCTCCAATTCCCTGCGTTTTGTGACACATCTTAAATTATTGATGCTGCTGCACAAGGAGGATGTGGGGAAGCAGTCACTTATTCCCATGGCCAGAGAAGAAAGGGAGCGTGTAATTGATTGTGCCGCCAGTGCTCCGGGGCATCCCGTTCCGGTTGCCCAGGGCGCTGGATTCACTGGCAGTGTGATCGGGCTCTGCCGAGGGGCTGGGGTGGATGAGTCAAGTCCTCCAAGGCAGGAGCGCGGCACTGAGGCCCCCAGGAATCCGCCACCTCCGGCGCCCGTGGGGACCTGGAGGTGCGTGCGGCTGCCGGCCCCGCGAGCTCCCAGCTTTGGGGAGGAAAAGGACTTGCTGTTCCTCAAATCCAGGTAGGGGAGGAAAATCAGGAACTCCACCCCAAAATACACGGCATTGCTCTCGCTGATTCTTTCCCGGATCCTGATTTTTAAATTATGCCTTCAGACAGAAACCCTATTTCAGGATTGAGAACCTGAAAGGATGAAGCAACATTTACACGGAGACGGCAGGAAGGGATGTTCATCTGCACACAGCTTGCGTGTAGAAAGCCAGCTGCTACCTAGCAGATACTGAGAGAAGTGCCACTGATAGCCTTAAAAATGTGCGTTTCCAAGATGTTGCCCAGATGTTAATCATTAACACTGGAGCAGGTTGAAGTGCAGAGACAGATGTTCCAAGAGCAGTTTTATTTTCTTAAATAAAGAGAATGAGGCTATGAATTAGACAAATTAAGAAGAAATTCAAATATTTACACCCAGTTGAAACAAGATGTTGGGAAAACAGGCATGATAAAATTGCTGCAATTAAATGTAATTTAATTTGTAGTTCTGAAAACATGCCTCTTCCAAAGACAGCTTTTGGGCTTTCCTTATGGAGTGCATTGTTGTGATGTATGGATTTTCCTGACTTATTATGGCATTTTAATCAACAGTTCAATGATGTGATAATATTCCTAAAGCAGAAAAATAAGTGACGTTTGTTTAGACGTAATTAATGAAATATTTATGTTGCATGAGGCTGTGTGATAAAACCTTGTTCTCTTAGTCCATTTGCTTCTGATTACATTTGTGATTTTTTTATATGACCAGACATTCTGACGCCAACTATTTTACACTGAGCAGATGTCATGTAGTAAAAATGGGTGCCAGATGCTACAAGCCACATAAGGGTAATTTGTTTAAGAGCTGGCTCAGACTTTTTGCGTTCAATTACACTGTATAGTGAGCCTTACACAATCATTTAGGTAATATGGCTAACTTGAGATATGCATTTTAATGAATGTTGAATGCATTCAGAACAGCATGTCACATACATGGAGCTTAAGGACTTAATTGGTTTGTATATAATGCCAAAAAAAATCAAATATAAACAGGCAGAGTGCTTGACAGTGACCGAAAATTTAATTAACACAATCATCCAAATTTCCAAATTGCTCTAGGTGCTGCTGATTAGAGCTTAAGGCATGTGCAAAGTGTCTATACAAGCTGAAGAGTAATAATTTCACCAACTATTCTTACATTTTAGTTTCTGAACACCTGCCTGTCAGAAGACAAGCCGCTGAGTATTCTTCTTCTGATGATGATGAATTTGAATCCAAGGTTTCATTAACACACAAGGTAACCTTTACTTTGATACTTCCTTGACTGGACTGTATTTAAAATTCATCATATGAATTTGATCTAAATTTAACACACAGCAATTTCTCAAAGTGGGGATTGGAACGTTTGCTCAGAAGAGATAGATTGTTGTGGATAAAAAGGATATTAGAATTCTTTGACAGATGGACATCCAAATTTCTTTTTCCTCTTAGGATCTTTAATTCCCCCAGGTAACACTAATGTTGACAGAGAAGGTCTTACTTTGAAAAACAGACATATTTTACTGAAAACACTTTGAAGCTGCATTCTTAAGTGGTTTTAATATGTAGCCCAACAAGAAAACCATTGAAAAAATTAAACCAAGCAGATGCAGATTTCTCTTGGGGTAACAGAGCTTCATTTGAGAGGCCCTGCAGGCAGCTTGCATGGCACACACCGAGTTTCCCCGGTCAGTGCCAGTGCACGAGCCGTGCAGTTGCAGCCAGGCCAGGCTCCCTCGCCAGGGCCCTCGGCACCGCTGCCCTGTGATGCTCCCCTCTGCTTTGGGGGCTTCTCAACGTGACATGGGGCTTGGGGTGGAAACCAGGCTCATTGCAGTCATTGCAGAAGGGTCTCCAGGGCAGAGCCAGGGACGCTGCTGTGCTGTGGCAGAAATTAGAGAAAACTCATTGGCAGAAATGAGAGCAGCAGTCCTTTAGCCTTTTTGTACTCATAGGATGTTATGGGTGGGTTTTAGCTTTTGCTCTGAAGGAAAGGGCTTCAGGGCAGGGAGCATTAGTGCTGCACCTTGTTCATTTGTTTGTGGTTCCCTTCCTGGTGATTCCCTACAAATAATGAGCTTGAAAAGGATACCTGTTTGTGGTACTGTTTGTTTGCAAGTAGAGAGGAGAAATTAGGGGTCAGTGTTGAGATGTTAAGTGCAGCAAGAAGTATTTCAAGAGAACAAATTCCAAGGTGTTTTTGTTACTAGGAGCAAGACGATATATAATTAAAGATGATATATAATTAAATAATACGATATATAATTAAATAGTAAACGATGAAGTATTTGAAGTATGGAAAGTAGAAAGCAAGAAGAGGAGCAACTTGTGACAACGGAGTGAGCAGCAGCGCCAGAAAGGGACAGGGTCTTGAGGGGGTGCCGGTGATGGCAGAAGGGTGGGCTGGCCAGTGCCCAGATAATGAGGAGCTTTCTGGCTTGTTTATTTGTGTTTTCAACTTTTATTCTGCTTGTGTGTTGTGTCCCCTCGTAAGGGGGAAAGCTGGGGCCTGGAGACCGCACCAGGGAGCGGGTCAGCCGCTGGGGTGCCCAGGTGCTCTGCAGAGGTGCCTCTCTGAGGTACCTGGCACTCTGTGAAAGGCTGGCAGAAATGTGTAATGGCCTCACTGTGCTGTGGGTGCCTTCACTCCTGTAGGCAGAGAGGAGTCTCAGAAGGAGAAGGAAGCTGGAGAAGGAGACAAAGCAGCTGATCAAACAAGAGGAGCTGAAGAGGCTTCACAAAGCACAGGTGAGAGGGGTTTGCAATGTCCCATTTGCCTCTCAGAGGGTCTAGCAGCGAGGGCAGGTACCAAGAGGGGACAAACAAACACCAGCCCCTGCTCTGCACCTTGGTGCCCTGGTTTCTGTGCTGAAATCCACCCGAAACATCACAGCAGTGAAGGGTGTGGGATGGGGCAGCGCACATTTGCATATGCAAACCCGAGTGTGTTGCAAGAAGATTAACAAGTTGTTTTAAAAACAAAATTTAAACAAAATCCAGGCATCTCTCCATCTTTGCAAAATGTAAAGTGGGAAAGGAGACGACTTTTGTGTTTGAACCACAATGGATCTTAGGAAATACAATTATCTAACCTTCATTATTTAATCAATGACAGAAGGTACAAAATCATGGAAAAAAATATCTAATTTAAATTTAAAGTAAGAACAAGTATGTTACAGTTTTGATCCAAGAGGTGTAAATGACCTCAAGGTAAAATTAGATACATATTGGCCTTCCCCGAGCTTACTGCTGTATAGAAATAATGTTAAAGTCCAATCTTTTCTAATTTTTGTCTGAGAGGCTGCTCCTGAGTGTTTGGTTTGCTACACCTAATGTAGCCTGAAACCAAAACTGCTGGCTGCTTGCCTTTGGCCATTCCATCTTTAAAGATGTCTATACCCGTTATCCATATGCACCTCAAAAATCTTCGATTTTAAAGGGAATGAGTCAGTCGATGCAAAAGTCCTTTATGTAGTACCCCTGAATTATCACTTTTGAGTTATTAGTCTCTTTTCTTCTTGTGTCACTAGCTTATGTGAGGTGTAAAGCAAAAACAGCAAAAGCCCCATGGATGACAACGTGGCTAGCAAAGCTTTTTATTCTAAATCTTCAGTATCTAGATGAGCTTTATCCACATAGCATCTCGGAATGTGGACTCTGAATGGGTATTTACCTTTCTCATCCTAGGAACTGTGGAAACATCATAATTTCCCTGCTACAATGGGAAAACTAAGGTCTTTAGTACCTGAGATATTTATCTGTATAAAATTACAGATGGATACCTAGCGGAATTATTAAATTGCTTTAGGCACCTAATGCACTTAATGAATTTGAAAATCCCATGAATCCTGAGACCTGTTCAAGCTATTTCTTTATCCACCAACAACGTCCTTTGTCTCTGAAGTTTTAAGCCGTGCCTGTAGCTTTCATGTCATTCTAATTTTGCAGGCAATCCAGCGCCAGCTAGAAGAACTGGAGGAAAGACAAAGAGCTCTAGAGATTTTTGGTGTTAAACTGGAGAGAAAACTAAGAGGAGAATCAGGTAAATGAAGCAGAGTGCTTGTTGTTGCTCAAAAAACAAAAGAACTTTTAAATATAAAGGATGTTTAGCAACTGAGGTAGAAATAGAGTTCAGTGCAAAACTATAGCTCAGTTATTTGACTTGGTTTTAAGACTGAATCTATTTTACCCCTCAAGTTTTTGTTTTTTAATCCCATCCCAAGTTTATTTTCATCTTCTGCAGGGCATCAGTGAGGTTTCTAGGTGCTGTAACCCTGTTAGGCAGCCAGCCACCCGGGCCTGGTAACAGAGTCCTTGATGACTTCTCCAGGGTGTGAGATGTCACTAATATGATTGCAGCCATGGCCAAGCTGTAGGAACTGCACCGTGTAGCCCCATGGACCCTGGTCCCAGCTTTCCCTTGGGATAGGAGATGACCAGGGAGTCCTCCAGCCTCAGGCAGAGCATCCATTTCCCGTTCTCTGAGAGGCAGCTACACAATGCAGAACACTTGGAAGTGTTTTGGATAGTGCCCTCTTAGCTAGCTAACCTGGCAAAGGCACCACAATGCTGGTCTTTTTTTTTTTTTTTTTTTTTTTTATACCATACTTTTTGGGCTGTTTATTATCACAGTTCTAATGCTGAGCTAGCCACTTTGACAATAGTATTAGGTCAAGTTAAAAACAACATGAACTTTTGTGTTTCTCTTATTTTTAACTGTTTTTAAATAACATTTGAAATAAGTTAGCACTGTTTAAAAACACTAACTTTTTTATGAAAAGTATAGCAAGTTATGAAATGACACCAACTTTACCCTCTTTAAAAAAGTCTTCGGAGGCACTGAGGGTTTGGAGTATTAGCTTGTTTTCCATTGCTGGTGATCTGCAAAAGGATGTGGGGCTTTTTTAGACGCAAAAAATATGGAGGGGTCAAGAGGTTGCTAACTCTTGGGAAATGCAGAATACCAGGATAAATGGCCTAGAGCCACCTCTTGTTTCTGCTCTTTTGACAATCATTTCCCAAAGAAAGCTGCCTGCCAAGAGATTGATGCTTCTCATTCTCTTCACATCCTTAGTAATTGAATTGCCCTCATTAAGGTGAAAGTACTATTTTTTTTCTCCTGTTGATTGTTTGTGCGTTGGTGGCCAGTTACAAACAGGACAGATCCTGCAGTGTAGGATGTTGCTGTGGCTCAATAACATATGGTGTGAAAGCATGAAGCCCCAGGTCTCCCAAAGCAGGCAGCAAAATGTGAGCGCTTTGTTGCTTGTAACAACATACGCGTAATAATGCGGGAATCAGCGAGCTTAATATTGCATTCAGCCTTTTTAAAAATAATGGCTATTATTGCTTAATGAGTGACCAGTGCTTATTAGGTTAAGTTGTATTTAAGGAGGTCTGTGCTTATGTAATTCAAGTGATTTAATAGGTATTATTAAGGTAATTAGAAAGCGATCACAGTTCAGCAATAATATTGAGCTGCAAAGGTTGTGAATAACCAAATTTAGAGACAGGCCTGCAAACACTAGTCTTCAGTGACATTTACGCAACTCTCCTCTAATAATTATGTAAGCAGGGAATGAATGGCCCCTTTGTTAGCGGGACTTATTCATTAGCTCCTGAACTGAATTAGGAAAGAACATGTGTGGGTGTGAAACAACTGCCATGAAGACTGATGAGCAAAATGAGGCTTTGATGGTCTTCTAATTGTAGTGACAATTCATGTATCAAAAAAAAAAAAAAAAAGAAAAAAGGAAATAATCGGTCCTATGAATAATTTTTCATGCCCCTTATTGCCTTTATTCTGGTTCTAAATACCAAGTAATCATTAATGTTCTACAGTTTCTTTTTTTCCATAGACATTTGTAGAGGCTTACAGAGATTTTACCTGCAAGAAAATGCAAAAATAAAGATTCTTAAAAACATGTTTTCTAGTGAAGATAGTGTAACAGATCAGTTGGCTAAAATTATGAAGGAATAGCGACTGTGGAGGCTTTGCTGAAAGAGAATCTCCCTTCTCTGCAGCGAAGCAGCGCTGGGCTGCAGGCTCCCTGGGAGGGAGGCCGCCTTTTGCTAAGTGCCTGCCTAGCACCTAGCACAGCGATGCCCTCAACTCCCAGGGCTAAAAAAGTCCCTATAATGATAGATCTTCCAGTGCTGCAGCCTCTCCAGCCAATCGAGGCTGATGCAGATTTAAAGACCAGTTAGCAAATGAATGGGAGTTTGTAGGGATTTGATTGTGTGTGTGGTGCCCACTGGGAGAAGGGGCTAAGTTGATACTTGCCGACTTGTACAGCTTGAGGTCTGGCTATGCAAATGGGGATAGCCATTTATGTATATGATTCAACTGCTGGAGCCCGGGAGCAACAAAAAATCTGTATCCTTCCAAAGAGGAACTAAAAATGTCCTTTGAAAAACAGACTAGAGGACAACCTGAAAGAGGGAGAAAAAGAGACCAAAACAGAAATGTTTTCAAGGTGTGGGAGGGGAGAATATTCTTTTCCTCAGCTTAAAATCTAACATCTCTTCAACTACAATGAAATGATAGCACACAACCAAAGTGAGACAGGAATGTTATTCAGGACAATATTGTTATTAATAATCCAGTGCAAAGAAATCTACCTAGGGTTCACCTAGCTTTGCAAATGAGCATCATTTAATTCATTATAACTGAATGAGCATCATTTAAGTGGGAAGTGCTGTAGAGATATAGTAATGTACATTTACCTCTTATATTTTATAGATTCAGGCTCCCAAGATGAAACTCAGATGTTGCATGAGTGGTTTGAGCTGGTTCTGGAGAAGAACAAACTAATGCGTTATGAGTCTGAACTCTTGATTATGTAAGTAAGGATAAGGAGTAATAGCTGTAAAGATGTGAAGAGCAGAGGGAAAGGGTGCCTGCATTGATCTGGAGCAGTGATTTCCCTCCTGATACGAGTCCTTCCTGTTACTGAGGCTACGTTGCCACTTTGTTCTCCAGAACGTACCAGCACACGGAGAACTTGCACTTCTCCTTTTCTCCTTGCTGGATCCTACAGTAAAATATCTACAGACTCTTCCGAACAGGGATTTTCAGTTGGCCCTTCCATATCCTTTCCTTTCACAGTAGTTCAACTATTTCAGTCCTTTAAGATGCTATGAATCATTATTGTTTATGGGCATTCTGCCTTTCCCTGGTGTGGTCTAATGAACAATTGAGCATCTTCTGTAGAAGAAAAATAGCCTGACAGTTTTATCTCAATTTTTATGGGAGGAAACATTTAGGGATTCACTACAGAGATGATGCAAGTGATACACAAAGCAAATAAAGTCTGTCATGGATGCCGTTTTTTGCAGTTGATGGAAATGACATTGGCTGTACCTCCCTCACTTCACCTGCCTGGAAATGTACTCAAAAGATAAGTGTAGGTGACTTCCAGCTGTTTTCTCCACGCACACTAATTCTGTGGCTGTGTAGGATGGTGATGGGAGCTCTGGGGCTCCAGGATTTCACTCTGGCTTAGGCCACGATTGTTTTCCTGTGCTGCACAGCAAATGGCCCCGTGCTGCGTGCGGAGGAGCCACCAACTGCTAGGAAACCTGCTGATTCCTCCCAGCCGCTGCCGATGCTGCTGGGGGACAAATCCTTCCTTTCTCCTCAGATTGTCTTGGGCTTTGGGGCAGCAGTGCTGCCTGCTAATGCTGCCTGAAAAGCAGGCAAAAGAGCAAAACCAAGCTGCTTTTAACAATACAAGACTGTTTTGGAAAAATGCTCTTTTTTGTAAGTACTCACAAGTGATAATTCCCTTGCTGGAGGAGCCACTCCTGTGCAGAGGGCCTAGCAGGACACTTCATTCGTGGGAGTGCTCAGTCCTATTCAGAGTCACGTTTTTGGTACAACTAACAAAGCACAACTGCATAGAAGCCTTATATGTAGCAATATCAGCAGGAGGTTTGATAGATTTGGCAAAAGGTGGCACTGGTACTTCTGGTGTGGTGGTGGGTATGACGATATATAAAATGCATATACTCTTGGCTATAATATTTATATATATGTATAAATATCTCCAGTAGAAATTATAGTAGTGAAAATAGTAAGAGCAGTAGTGAGGGTGGTAGCAATAAATGAGGGAGGATATTGTCACTTATTTTCCATATTATTTTAGATTAGTAGCAATCACATAATACTCTTAAATGCTTGTCTTGTGAGAGAAGGACTCTTAATATAGCAAAGATAATGCAAAGAAAGAGCTTTCTAGCAATTGAGCATTGTTAATCATCAGATGTGTAAAACACCAGCTTTAAGAACAAAAAGGACAGCAGATCCAAGATTCGCTTTATCAATCACAGAGGATTACTTCCTTGCATTTTTGGATGCAAATACATCCAACATTTTTAGATGTCTAACAGGTTAGAATTTTTTTACTATCAATTTTTGAAAGTTTTAGGTAATTTTGATATGTTATCATCAACTTTATATAAATTAAAGTTTGTATTTACACAAAATTGCAAGAGCATAAGCAGCAGTAGCTGTGAAACACAAGGCAGAGTTGTGAGTTCTGGCTACATCCCTTTTGGTCCTGACACCAGCTTACATATTAATGTGCTTTTCGTTGTGCTCAGAGCCCAAGAACTAGAACTGGAGGACCACCAGAGCAGGCTGGAGCAGAAGCTGAGGGAGAAAATGGCCATTAATGGTAAGTGGGACGGGCGAGGATGCCCATGTCGCACTGCAGTCCCTGGCCCCGTGGCAGGGGACAAGCACATGCACACTCGTCTTGGAGAGGACCTGCCTGGCTGAGGTGGCTCCTGCTCTGCTCTTGTGCCCCGCACAGCCAGGAATGTGCAAGGAGGAATGCAGGGAGGAAGGGCTGGTTAGATACTGCTGAATACACCAACCTAGCCTGTTGTCTTCCAAGCATGCAGATGGTAAAGGATTGTAATTTTCAATGCTTTTCCTGACAAACACTTTAATTTTCTTACACATTCTACGTTTCGTTTCTGGGCATGTCACCTTTTCCAAACTAAATCATTTCAATACAGCTTAAATGCTGTCAAGTTGCATTTTACATCCTAATGTAGTAATTGCTATCTGCAATATAGCTTTGCAATTGTACTGTAATCTTTAAGGAAGCCTTGTACAGGTTTTTATAAATAAGTAGTGTTCTTCCTATCACTTCCACAGTAGAAGTTCTGCTAAATGATCTACTATAAACCTTAGGGACCTTAATGGTCAACGTTAAATGACCCTAGTGTAGAAGTTATCCCTGAACTGCATCATTTAAATAAATAATAAAACTAAAAAAGTAACTGCTATTGACCTTATTGATTGTGAAATATAATATTGTTTTAAGCCATGCAGTTAAAATGCAAAACATGATAACATAATAACACAGTAATCTGGATTTTAACCTTTTGTTTTGTGATCTCTTAGATGGCCTTAAAAATGAAATGGATCTGAATGAGGAAGATGAAATTTTTACTGAGATGATGAAAGTAGTTGAACAACGGGATAAACTTGTATCTACCTTGGAGGAACAGAGAGTGAAAGAAAAAGCCGAAGACCAGCACTTTGAAAGCTTTATGTTATCTAGGGGATATCAACTAAGCAGGATTTAAACAGCCACATGCAAGTAAATTGAGTTTTGACAATATTCATAATCATGGAGATACAGTATTCTGAAAAATGAAGGAATTCAAATTTAAAATCAATTTATTTGGAAAACATGCTATTTTGTTATTGAAAGCTTCTAAGTAGTTTCTTTGGTCCCGCTGGAGTGAGTCTAGTCTCACAGAGAAGTTCCAGCAATGAATAGCCTATCAACTTAGTTGCAAAGGAGAAGAAAGGGATTGAATTCACGTGTCTGATGGGCATGATGTTCTGCGGAAGTGTAATAGGGGTTCTGTTTTTTCAGAATTTTAATTTAATCCTGAGAATAGAGTTCCCTAGAAAAAAATAACATGATTTAGCATTTTTGCAATGGCTTTATTTTCCATCTGTTTACCTGAATCTGTACGTGGTTTTGGTAATACTTTGGCACAGCTGAGCCACACTGAACTATTTAAAGGTCAGAAAGCAAACATCTTGCATAAAAATCAAGTTAGTTTTAATTCTGGTGGAGGAAGGATCTTTTGACTAATAACTTTAAATATATTATAAGTAATGATTAGAACTATTGCAGATGTAATGTCAGAAACTATTTTTCTAGGTATTTTTAAGTTTCAGTGCACTGTATATTTTTGAACAAGAAGATAATGCAATATTAAATTCCTACATTTTGTAAAATAAGGGAATATCAAAGAGGTTATAAGTCTTAAAAGACTGTTAAAAGCTTTAAGCACTCTGTTTATATTTAAGCTACATTTATATCGCTGCTCAAGAGAAATATATGGGGTTTTTTGCTTTTTTTTTTAAAAAAAAACTTGAAGCATCTCCTACCTGTCTTTATAGCCATTGGCATAGCAGAAGTGCAAAAATTGTCCAATTCTCCTTATTAGTCAGCACATTGAAACACTTTCTTAAGTCTGAGATAATTTAATAATTTAAGATTGCTATTGATCCCAACTGAATGTCCACTACTTTTTTTTTTTAAGGGAGGGAGAGACTGAAAAACTGTTTATTTTTGACTGTTATTTACCTCATGCTCTGAACAGAGAAGACTTGATGTTCTCATTGCTTCATGAATGGTGCTTATTTGCTACAGGTGCCTATGGTACAGTCAAAGCTAGAAGAGTTCTTCTAACAAAAGCTTTAAGCTAAAACCTCTTGGTGACTACTTGTAGGGTAACAGACACAGTGGATCCTCTCACAGTAGTTTATGAATGAACTTAAGTTTCTCATGTTTTGTAAGACGTGGATAATTTTAAAACTATAGACAAAACTTTGCAATTGTGCACAGATAAATAATATACCTCTATTGGTGAAAGGCAGATACTGTTGTTCTGTGATATTTATGTATTTATATTTATTTATTAGACTGTTTAAAGGGAATAAGTGCCTGGTTGTATTTTATACTTTGGGTGTTGTTTCTTATTTTGATAAACAAAAATGTATTTCTAACAGATATGTAGAGGTAAAGCTGTGCCTCGTAGAGTAGTTTTATCAACTCGGTAAGTAATTGGGAACAAAATATAAGTTAAGGTTTAAGCAATAGTCTCAATTTATTATAATCCTGAAGGATACCCTTACAGTATGGCATACAGACCTGTCTTTTTTCATAGTGGAAAGACACAGCAGAATCCCTGAATGGATTCCAGAATCACCCTCTACCATCTTTTCCTGTCATTCATATGCAGATCATACTTGATGCTTAGATTATATTTTTATTGAGATGGATTGCAGTGATTGATTTTTAAATTGGCTCTGTTACTTAAAACTGGCACAAAGTAGGAGCAGACAGGACAGCAATACACATTCTAATTTGCTCTGAAATCTGGCATTTCTAGTGCTATGAAGAAATTTTCTGGATTTTATCATTGCCAGAAGCCTCATGTAATCCAGTAAAATCATACTAGAATATTTGTCATTCTGCCATAAGAAGCAGAGAATCATGATGCTTTCAAGGTCATTTTTTAATTTGTAAGCAAACCTTTTCCTTGTAGTGCTTTGCACAGCGGGAGAATTCAGCACAGTCACCTCCAGCTACATCAGAACAGATTTTTTTTTTTTCAGTTCAGCTTTTGAATTAAAAAAAAAGGTCTCTTCATCGTAGTGAATTTTCATGGCCTTTAAAGAGGAGGAGGAAGGGTAGTGTAGAGACATGATATGACTGAGGGCTGCTGGCCTGAGATTTCCTTTTCCTGCAAATCCCTGCTCTGCTATAAAACCAAGTGGTAAAGAGATGTGAGCAGACACTTTCCTTTTAGCTCTGAAGGTTTCAGTCCCTGAGAGGCAACAACAACGGAGGATCCTCACTGTTTGATGGATTCCCAGAACATTATCTGTTTAAAAAGTTACTTTTTTGTATGATATGTTGTAATAACACACACTCCACCTGAAATTGCAGGTCTTGCATGTGTGTCTGGCTGCTTGGGTGGATAATTCTGCATACCTACTGTTGCCTTGACTGATACTAACGTGCTTCCAGGATTTCATGCAAAATAAACTGTGCAGGTGACGTAGCAGAAGAATAAACTCTAGGTAATTTAAAGAGGAGTTTTGCACATTGTGAGAGTAGAGGAGGAGCAAAAAAGAAAGCAAAGCTGTGGGCACTGTTCACAGCTCAATTTAATAAGGCTGACTGGTATTAGAAATACATTAAAGCAAATATGTATGATTGAATATTCTTGCCTTTTCTTTTTGTTTCTAAATTGACTCACTAATTTATAAGGGGTTTGTTTATTTTAAAATTCTTGATACTATTTTAAAATCCTTGGCACTGTTATTGATGGGTATGATATGATATGCTGCAACATATTGGCTGTGTCTAACTGACTAGATGTGAGTAGTTTTGTATATGAAGAAATAAAAGTGTATCTTACTCTCTGAAATCCCTCAGTCATTTCCTTAATTTCTTACCTCCATATAATGTGTGTCCAGGAAAGCTGTAGGTAAAAAGTATGCTGTTTTCTTAATTCATTTACTGGTAAGTAAATTACACTCTTATTTTGCACATAATATCTTGGAAATACTGGTGCTGTGCTGCTGGACAGTATTCAACGTGACCTTTAACAAGGAAATGCAAACCCCATGAGATCAACAGCTTCCTTTAATTTCTGACATAGGAATTCACCATCTAATTTCCTTAAACATGACATGCAAACTAACAGTTCTTTGTGTTGAAGGAAAAGGACCACTGCAGAGAGAAAGAATTGGTGAGCAGAACCTCAATTGTTGATTTTCATGTTCCACCAATGTTACTTCTATTAGACTATCTCTTACTCTGTTGTTTTCTGTCAGCGGGAACAGCCTTACAGAGCAAGACAATGTACTGACAAAGGAGAGATCAGCGAGATTTGGGCTTACGTGCCCTGCGCTTCATCCTCTATGTGGTGACTGTGAAAGGATGCATGCTTCCTTCCTCTTTGCATAAGAGATGGATGGCAACTGCTCTTCTAAGGTCCAGGTAATTTGTTGCTTTTGAGCTGAGGTTTGTCTTCTCCTGTCATGTCCTTGTCCTTCTGCAGGAGTAGCACATAGCAGCTCTGCTGAGAATGTAGGTTCCCAAGGCTGCAGAGGAATCACCCGCCACCTGGTTATTGGAAGCAATAGGTCAAACTTTTACACATACCTGTGTGTAAAGTTTTGTGGTCCTGACTGCAGAGCTGGCTGGTCACCAGCTGGGTGTGTGTGCTGGGTGCATGTGCACCCTATGGATAGAAATGGGTCTTTATGAATTTACTGAGTCTCCTGTGTTATTCGCCCTCTCTGACTCCCTTCAAAAGATTATGGCTGTAAAGAAAGCGCATTGGACTAGAGGTTCAAGAAAAGGATTTTGTAACCCATCATGTGTCTAATGATCAATCCATTTGCCCCCAGTGTAACAAATTACCTCACTGATTTTAAGACTGTTTGCGCAGATTTCTCTGGACACGGGCAACAAATTTAACAGAATTGTCCTGCAAACACTGTTTTCAAATCTAATGCAGGCATAATTTCAACTGAATTTGATTTTAATTTAGCAGTTTCCTTCCCAAAAGACATATTCTGTTTCTTTTTATTTTCCTGTTTAAGCATGTAGCAGGATGTGGCTTGGCAGATTGGAGATTCTGTTTATCTTTTCAGACCCTGCTACTTTTAATCTATAGTCATTTACTGAATTTTTGAAGGATCATAGTTATTGCATACTGTGGCATGGTGGTTCTGTCATATTTGTGTGTCAATACTGTCCCTGCAGTCTCTATGGTAATCCTGGTATCACCTGAAACTGGAATTTTATGATGTGCAAAGTATGCACAGAATTTCATCTAGATCTGTTTGCCCAATATCTATGATCAGCTTCTCTTTCACACATGTTTTTTCTGTGCATTCTCATGACCTATGGCAAGAGCTTTCCATGGCCCTGGGAGCAAGCAAGGTGCTTGCCTTAACAGTCAGGCATTAGAGATGTACAAAGCTACAGACCTAGAGAGGGCATTTCTTGCAAATGCAAAAGCTTAAGAAAAAATCATGATCCTGATTTTCCTAAAACTATTTCAACAAGTCCAGGTGTAAATTCATGTAAACCTGCCTAATATTTATCAATTAATATATTAATATATTATCAATATATCAATAGGCAGACCTATTACCATAAGCAGTGAAAGCTATGTTGATGTTCCTAAAGAAAAATTTCAAAAACACTTTCTTTGCAATGAAACTTTAATGGATACACAAAACAGGGTTCCGTGAGAGGTGCTACCCATAAAGATTTTTGGGTGCTCTCAGGAAAAGAAATGGGGCTGGTGCTTCTGCATCTGACAGACAAGAGAAAGCAGAGGAAGACTTGGGAGAGTGTGAGCGACCAGTGCTGTAAAGGAGAGTTTTGGGGAGGTGCCAGAGGAAGGAGCTTTGTGCTTCTCAGTTGCTTATTGCTGAACTTCTGGCTGTGGGAAGGGAAAAATGTATTAAAGCTCTTTTTTACTAGTGTCCTAAATCTTAAGTCTCTTTTTTGAATCCCAAACAAAACAAAAAAAATCAATATTAAACAGCCATAAAGTACTCTGTGAGGAAAATCCTTTTTCTCTATGTATCTTCTTTTAATAGGCTGTTAACTGCTAGCCTGGAGGATAGGGATGTGAATGTTCAGCAGATTACTACATAGAATTGGTAAGTTAGAAGATAGTTGATTGCAAACATTTAGAAAAATATAAAGGGTCGACAGACTTTGGTCCGATTCTGTTCTTTCCAAAGTCAGTGGAGAGTCTTCCCTATGCAATTAGAGCAATAACAGCATTTGTGAAAATTCCCCTGTTACTGTTTAAATGGCCAAAGGGTCAAAATGCTGGAGCAGAAATGTTCTTAAGAGAAAAATGCTGAGCTCCAGATCAAGAGGAACTATCATTTATTGTATGGTCTTAACTACTTTGGCTTAAACTTTTGTAATAACAGAAGAAATACTATGAAAACCAAACACAACATCAGGGCCAACCTCTCTCCTGTGCGTTGGCTATGTAAGATTCTAAGTAGGTGGAAGTCTTTCAGCTGCTGCAGTGCTCATTTTTATTAGCCTATACCATGACCAGTGTATTGTGTATTGTGTATTCTCTCTCCCACCTCATTCAGGAAGTAATATTCTATTCATGATCTCTCCGAGTTCTGTAGTAAAGCAAATAAAAAACAGGCATGTATGAACAGACATGAAGGTGAGTAAGAATGTGTTTGAAGTATATGGATTTAGCTGCCTTTTATTGCCTAGCAGAAGTATGTATGTGATCAGGATACAATTAATTTGTGCTACTATTTGGATCATCTGTAGGAACAAGGTGCTGACAAGGAGCATGGTGAGAGCTCTGACAGTTTGCTCCAGATTTCTAGATGCCAGATGCGGTGAGGCCAGCCTGAATGGCAACCTGCTGTCTGGTGCATGGGATCACAGAGCATGACTATGAAAGAATTCAGTTATTAAATGTAAAACAGGAAAAACTTAGCCGAACAAAAAATCTCCACTAAATTTATATTGCTGCAGCATTTATTTGTGGTTAAAATATTAGGCATTTAAAATCAACACTTCTACATTTGCCATAATGTAGACCTTGTGAGTACCTATATGACCTGTTGTGTGGCTGCAATATTAATTTAAGGATCTGTGTGCATGTATATTCTTGCATCAAAAGAAGAAAGAAAAAGTAGCATGTGTAGTTGTAAATTTAAGATACGGGGAAATAAAAAAAGAATATCGTTACTATTTTCAATGAGAATCAGTACAAGTGGAAAAATCTTGAAATAATGTTATAAGAGAACTGAAATTCAGAAAGCAGCCTATAAAGAACACAACAAACATTAAGTCTGTCTGCTTTAGTGACCCTGTAGCTTTACTACTCAAGGCATTGCAGTATTTCTGTTCCAAAATGAAATTATTTTAAATACATATTGAATTTCCTTTAAAATGCATTTTTTCCTTGTGATGTTAAATCCTTACCCATGACTCATGAGGCTATTAAATAGTAATACTAAATTTGATATCTAATTTAAATATGTTGAGTATTAAAAAAAAAAGTATGAAACAGTATTGAGAAAAGATACTGGGACTTTTAAATTATTTGGTATGTGACCTGGCAAATGCATACTGAGTTCTGATTTTCCCATACTGTATAACCCAGTGTCTGTTACTATCTATGAAATACCTTTTATATAAGTCTTAATGGCAAAAAAGTGAGCAGTCTTGTGTTTGTTGAAATGCTTTCTCCTCTGCTCTGCCCACAAAATCCTACATTGACATCTGTGTCTAGTCACTTGGGTCCAAAGTTGTGTCATACTCTATAAATGATGCAGATTCACATCTTTGTATAGAAAGAACTTGATAGGATTATTTTGCTTTCATTTGAAATGGTCTTTCATTATTTAAAAAAAAAAAGTTCAAAACTGTTTTTATCCTAATCCATACAATGCATGAACAGCACTTTTTAATGGAATAATGTGTGAAATTGTGGAGACTCTGCAGACAAAACCAGGCACCATCAGTGCTAGGAAGGCACAGAGCAAAGCAAAGGCAACGTGGGATTCTCTCACTGCCTCAGATTCATTCCCGCTTGTGAATGATGGAGGTATGGGCAAATAAAATCATTCTCTAGGGCATATGCTTAACTGCACACAACAAATACTCATTGATGTCTATTCCTCATCAGATAACCATTGTTATTGGCTTGTAAAAACAACAATTATTAGCTGATTTAGAAATATCCTCATGGTAATTTCATTTCTCTTATTATGGCTAATGGATAGCTAGATATTTGCATGAAGTGTGTGGCTTTTTGTCTAAATTGTTAATTGAGTGATTAAGTGGGGACTGAAGGTAGTAACATCCAGAAGATATTAATGCTGTTATAGTCCTAGGTGTCTCCTGAGCCAACTACCAGTCACGGCAAGTTATCTCTTTTAGAAAGACGCTTTCCTCTTCAGCTACTCCTCTGCAGATCAGCAGAAGATTGGTAGAGGCGATGGTTTGCTGTGCTAGCTAACCTTCCTCTCATGTTTTTATTTACAAAGGTGGGCTTCTTTTGTAATGGAAACCTACAGAGCCAACCTGCTCCCCTAACACGACTGGAGGCCCAAGTCTATGTGGTAACCTGCTCTTCAACCTGCTTACAGTTATCTAAGGGCACTTTTTTAATGGTTTAGTTCTTTCCCTTTTATTAGTGCTGATTGTGCAGTGCGGAAATATCCGCTTGTCCCCGTGCTGCCTCCTTCCAGTGCGGCAAGCAAGGGAAATGTATTGAATTCCAGTCATTTCAGCCCTCGGCCTGGCTCTGTTGCGCTGCATTTGGGATCCGGGGACGGAGGGGGGAGCCCTTGGGCAGTGGGGGGCCTCGAAGTGATGGCCTGGGTGGTCAGTTGGAGCCCTTAGGGCAGTGGCCGTTAGGGTGAACGGCCGGGGCGGAGCGGCCCTGAGCGCGGTGAAGGGCGCGCGGGCCCTGGGCGCCGCTCAAGTAAAAGGCGGGGCGGGGGGAGGGGGCGCTGAGGGAAAGGGCGCGCGCGGCTCTGGCGACCGTTACGGTAGACGGCGCGCGTGGCAGTTGGAACCGTTGGGCAGTGAGAGCCGTTGAACTAAACCGCCCCCCGTTTAGTTGTGGGGGAGACGGCGAGAGCGGGCAGCGCAGGGCCGTTAAGAGGCCCGGGCGGGCAGGGTGAGCCGTTGGGTGGGTGAGGGCCGTTGGGGTGAACGGCCTGCGCGGGCAGGGAGAGCCGTTGGGATAAACGGCGCCGTCCGGGTGAGGCGAGGGCAGCGTGGCCCTCCCCAGCGGGCGCGGAGCGAGCGGGAGGGCGGGCGGGAGGGAGGGAAGGAGAGGGAGAGCGGGAGAGAGCGGAGCAGGAGCTGCCTCAAATGCCTGAAATAATTCCGCTTCCGTTTAGAGCCGGGACCAGCCTCCCGCTTCGCCTGGGCTTCAAACCTGTCTCCCTTCAACCCTGAGCGGCAGCGGGGCCGGGACCACCATGGCAAGCTCCCCCCAGAAGTCCCCCTCTTCCCCCAAGTCCCCCACCCCGAAATCGCCGCCGTCCAGAAAGAAAGATGACTCCTTCCTGGGTAAACTTGGCGGCACGCTGGCAAGGAGGAAAAAAGCCAAAGAAGGTAAAAATTGCAGGTTTGCCCGTTTCCTGGGAGTTACCTTAAAATGCGGGGGGGAGGGGGAAGGAGGAGACTGGGGGAGAGGAAAAGGCCCTGGGGAGCGGGAGGAAGGGGCTGACAGGGAAGGACGGGCGCGGTGGGCAGGCGAGCGGCGAGGGAGGAGCGCGCCGCCTCGTCCCCGGCGTCCCCCCCTGCGGGGCCGGGGCGCCGCGCTGCGCGTGGCGGGGAGACGCGGGGCCCGCGGGCCGCACGGCGCCGCCCCTGCCCTGCGCCCGCGGGCCGCACGGCGCCGCCAGCTGCAGCGGGCCGCGGAGGGGCGCGGGCGCGGCCCGGCGGCCGGAGTGGTGCCCTGCGGTCAGGGCTGGGCCCGGGGCGTGTCCCAGGACCCAGGTTGCGAGCCGGGCAGGGGTCTGGGCGCAGGGATATGAGCACAAGCAGGGGGTCGCAGTGGAGAGGCAGCGCCTGCAAGGCTGCGCCGGTGCCGCGGCCTGCCAGGCACGCCGCGGTGCCTGCGGAGGTTAGCTCCTCTCCAGCCTAGTCGACGTGTGTGTCCAGTGTGTCTTTGATGGATTTTGGGGCCTGTGCGAGGTTACCTGTTTTTAGGTTGTGGTGAGGAAAAATAAGTAAACAAAAAAACCCAAACGAAGCTAAAGGTGCTTATGTCCTCTTAGTTTTCACTTGCAGTGCACCAATTTATATCGGTGCACAGCATGCTCACATATGCTCTGAGAGAATGGTCTAATTATATCCACTTGTTAAAGGTTTAAATTTTAACTCAGTCTTTGACTAAGTTGAAAACCTTTGCCTTACGACAGTAGTCCTTTGAAGAATACTGAGTATGTGCCAAAGGTCTGCTTCTTGGTCTGTACATGTAGATTAATATGCAGCCCCTACTGAATTGGCCTATTTAAAATCCTATGAAACAGAGAAATGGAATTTGACCTCACTCACCCATTATGTTTGCAGTTCATGTTATTTCAAATATGCAAGTCAAGCTATAACAGTGTCCACTTCGAACCAAGTAATATTTATTGAGAACAGGGAGTCGCACTCAACAAATAGTAAAACCATGTATGGTATTTTATGGACAAGAATGATAACACCTTACTCTGAAGAATGCATTCATTGCTTTAGCTGTCTCAGAAATCTGTTCTTTGGGATACATGTCTTTTTTTTTTTTTTTTCGTTATTAAATGTATTTTACATGCTTGTGCTCACATTATTCAGTTTCTCCTGACTCTGAAATTTATGAAACAGTAACTGGAAAAATCTATTAGGTATCCACTTCTTTGTTATTTATGTAAGAGTATTGATGAACATTAGCCGCAATGGACTAAAACCAATTTTCTGTAATGAGCCTATATTGTAGTTATGAGACCTTTAACTTAGCCTATTCATTGTAGATTTAGCATGTCCAGTATTAGTATCAGACAGCTATTTTTGTCTGTGACGTACAGTATTATATCATAAATCTCCAGGAGACTGTCATAGACAGCAGTTACTTTTATTTATGATCTTGTAATTTTATTTTAAAAATATTTTCTATTAAATGCCACTCTGCCACCCTGTTTTAGTCCCGCCTTAAACCAGAGCATGTTCTGACTGCACACCTGGAACCGAAAGCTCAGGTCTTAGACAGTAGTGGCTGCTCAAGAAAGTCAGTGGAACTTGAGCTCTTGAGATAAATAAGGGTAAATTCTAAATAAATAATAAATAAATAATAAAATAAATTAATAAGGGTAAATTCTTCTAATTGATATATGCTCTGCTAATAGTAAACAAAGTTAGTGATTTTCTTTAGCATTTTAGCAGATTTAAAAGTTAGTGTTTCTAGATATTTTTAAAATGTTTTGTCTGTTGTATGTAATAAACTAAATTTCAGTGCTATTTTGTATTATATATCTAAACAACTGATATAGACAGTATGTAATTATATATATAGTTTTGTAATTTTTGCCGTAAAAGGCATTTTTTATCATTGTCAGAAGTGTATATATATATATATATATATATATATATATTTACCTTACAGTAATAGAAGCAGTGCTAGGAAATTCTAACAAATAAAGAGCCAGTAAGATCTGAAATAATAATGGTATAGTCATGCACATTACTTACAGAAAGAATAAAATCTACTTGCAGCAAAAGTTCTTTACAGTACAGTATAAAACAGTTTTTTGTTAATATGATTTACGTATAGCAAGCCCTTTATTATGTATTTCAAAATTTCTGGTAGTAGTGATGATTATCTTACCCATGCTACAGATGACAATACTGAGCAGCCTAGAAGTGAAGTGAGTTGTCTGATAACACAGTACAAGTTGGTGGCAGAGCAGAGGGAAAGTTAATCATCTATTGTATAATATATATCTATTTTATGGTAATCATTTTATTCTATGCGAGAGCAGAACAAAGAAGTTGACATACCATTACTTCATATATCACACGTGGTATAAGTGGGGATTAGTCATATATTGAGGTGTATGTTAATTTGCAAAAATAAATTGTCATTCTTTATTAGAGAATATTTATGAAATACAAAGTTTGAGGTGACAAAGGCCAAGCTGCTTAGGGCATCCTATGCCATGCAGGGTTGTGGCCTGGATTTTTCTTAGAATATCTCATCTTCGTTGGTCTAATTCAAAGTTGTGACTATTGTACATTTGTCTTTCCTGTGAGGACATAAAAAGCTGCATTTTGCATCTTTTTATCCAACAAAAAGGTTTAAATAGTACCAGAATATTTGATGACCTGTTTACAAGTGAAGTAACTATCATGTGCATCGTTTAGTTTGTTTTATAGGATTTTATCTGTCATTTATGAAAAGAATTCAAAGATTAAGCTACTCCCTATATGTCTTTGAAGGGTTCCAGTCCTTTTCTATTAGGAGATAAGAACTATTGGGAAGTTAATTTTACTCACCAAAGCCCCCAACAATTTTTTCAAAAATATAAGTTTCTCATAGTGCTTTGTATTGTGTAGCAAGCCCATCTTTATACACATGCAAGGAGAGAACGGAATGACCACCCTGGGGGTGAGGGTGTGTATTATGTTATCTTATGAATTTTTCATGGTGGGTTCATTAAGGTCATGTGTGATTGTCCTCCTTAAATTTTCCTGGCGTGACATTTATAGACATACAAATTTCGTTCCTCATAATAGCTTACCTCTGTCAAGAGTTGTAAGAATTGGAACCTGACACTCTAATACATCCGTGACACTTTCAGGAACAGAGAGCAAAGTTCAGAATAGCTTAAATTGCATAGGAGCAGATGGAAAACAGACAGCTTGGACCCGTGAATTGGGTAGAGCGCAATTACTGCTCATTGTATGGGCTCAGCCAGTTTTCCAATTGATATGACATCAATTTCAGTAATTTGACTGCTCTTCCTAGCTTATTTGATGTTGATGGGCAAGAGAAGGAATGGAATTTTCTTTTAGCTTCCACTTATATTTCTTCTTTATTTTTCATATGTTTTGGTTTTATTCCATTTCAGTATGTGAGGCTACAAAAGTCTGAAATTTCTATGTGTGCCTGATGGAAAGTTATGATAGTAACAGCATAAAAAATAGTGGATTTGCTATTTCTTGATAATTTCCTTCCATTTATTTGTCTCTGTCTTGTTATCATAGTACATTTAAACAATAATACAAAAAATGGAACAACTATAAATTAAAAATAAGTATAGAGTGAAAGGAGCTGTTCAGATACTTGCAATAAAAACCTTTTATAACTGAAGGAAAAGTCATGCCTTGATGTGGCTTATATGCATTTTACTGTGAAAAGAATTAATTTCTTAGTATACAAGTGTTCTGATGAATTTTGAGGAGGTACTTGTACTATTTTCTTTGGACCTGTTTCTGCGACTTTTCTTTGAGTATTGAGCTATAGATATAAAGGGTTGTTTTTGTAACAATAGGACTTGTCTTTTGCTCATATCTTTGTTTCTCATCTGACGGTTTCTAGATTAGCTTAACTATTTTGCAAGCTTTTTTTTTAAACTACTGCTGTTTCCTTAGGTATTTAAAGTGCAAATGAAGTTTAAAGCAGAGCTGCTGTGTCTTACCTATGGAAATTAGCAAATATGATAGTATTAACATATAATATGAACAAAACAGGTCCACATATGCTAGTTTCATATTTGTGTTTCAAAGATACATATAGCATTTTCTGTGAAGAAATGGTAGGTGTTAGCATCAGTTTAGTATTTTTATATTTAGCTCAGTATGTCAATGCTAGATGATCTTGCCCTATTAGAAGAGCAGAATAATTTTTTGATGTCTGACATGAGGTGCTTTATATTAGTGTGTAGCAACTGAAATAAACTGACAGTTTTCTTTCTCCTGCAAACTATATTTAAATATTCTCATGCTCTTGGTGTACTGCCACAGGCATTATAACTACCTGTGTAACTGATGTTGGACAAAAGCTATTTGTACCACCCTTGAAGTAATTATTGCCTTGGGGCAAGTTCTGTAAAGTAGATAAAGTACTTCTGTTGGGTGGAAGGACCGTAAAAAATGAAAAGAAGAATCACAGAAGGAAGATTCATCTGCTTTATTTATTGTAATTTCATTGTTAATAGCCTTTCTGAAAACACCTGCAGTGTATGAAAGGAGAAGAGCACTGGGATCGGGTCTTCCTTTTCTCTTTTGAACCTACGTTTTTGGGGGTATCTGGGGAGGGCTTTCTGCTCTGCCATTGAACAGATTATTCAGTAGTTAAAAAAAAAAAAAAAAAAAAAAAAAAAAAAACCCAAAAAACCTGTCTCAAATGTTTCTAATAATAGGCAGAAATCCCAACTGTTGCAGCAGCTCTCTGTATGTGTGGTCTTAGAGGTGCACTTCAGCAGCAGCTCTGACGTTCTTGAAGCTGTTTGTTACCTGCCAGGCTTTGCGTGTGAGTGAAAGAGTAGCTAGTTTCGTGTCCAGTATCTTTGGGTCTCTGTCTCTGACCTTCCTGTCTCCTCTTCCCACAAGTACTACCCTCTGCAATATGCATG